CCCCAGATGCTATATCTTTTGATAGCCGGGCACCATCAGCTTTCTTCACCACATTGTGTCTCCAATTCTTTCTGCTTAATTTTAGCTAACCTACTGGCTGAGTTTCATCTCCTTCTATTGACTTTTGTGCCCCCTTTCTGATCATTTTCTGATAGAGGTTGAGTTGAGTTCAATAAAATGACCTAACGATAGGAAATTGGAGGTGAGTGAGAGAGAGGAGAGTGGTAAATTAACAGACCGGCAGCCCCTGAGCAGTTCAGTTAGGAGAGTTGAGATGCACTCAGAATCAACCACCGTGTGTATGGATGGTGATAAGAGTTGTATGAGCCCCTAATAAAATGATTTTTTTAAAAACCCAGAATCAACCACCGACCTTTGGGCTCCCTTCTTAACTGATCTGCTGTGTGTGTGTTGACACACAGGAGGTTTTCAACAAGCATGAGTACATGTATGATGTAATAAAGGTAAATAGACATATTTGAATGTCGAAGACTTTCACGATATGACTTAACTGTAGTCATGATTTAAGTTCGTGTGTATTATCATTCTTCATTGTCCCACCATCAGTCGTCAAGGTGATAGTTATGATCTACATTTTATAGGTGAGCAAACCATAAGCATTTTCGTCCGGGCTCTGATTCACATAACGCTAAGTTATCGAGCCGGATTGCCCACTGCTGCATTAGGTGCTTGGAGGAAAGACCTGGTGTCTGCCCTCGTATGGCTTATGATATGTTTGGGGAGATCCTCTGCTTCTGCCCAAATCAAGAACTCTTATCCATCAAACACCACCACCACCCCCTCCAACATCTCTCAAAGCTTTCCCAGGCCCACTGCCCTGCTCCAGGCACCATTTCCAACGCGGGCTGTTATGATAGCTCTTTGACTCCGCCACTAGCATTCCTATCCCCCAGTGCATCTTCCGAAATCCTGCTGGAGGAGTTTTTCAAAAACCCCAGTTGAGACATGTTGTTTCCTAGGTCAGAAACGTCAGGCTCCCCCTGTCCTATAGTAGAAGGTCCTTGTCTCTTAGTATGGCATTTTGGATACTTTCCAGGTTATTTCTCGAAGTACAGCACATTTCTACCAGGCTCCCATCGTTCATCATGACCCAGGTCCACGCCCTTCTGCACATCCTGGGATTTGCTCATGCAGTTGTCTCTGTCAGCTGTTATTCACACAGCAGAAGCTTGCTCCTGCTTGAAGTCTAGTCCATAAATTTGTAGATCTGCCCTAGCTTTTCCAAGCAATCTTAAAAGTGGGTCCTTTATTCTCCTTTTCAATCTATTCAAATGCCAAATATGATCATAATAAATTAGTAAAAGTAAAAGATATATGTTGCATATTTAATATGTGTCAGTCATTACTGTAGGATCCCAGTAGAGTAATGGTTAAGTACTAGGCTGATAACCATGGGTCAGCAGTTTGAAACCATCAGCCTTTCCGAAAGAAAAAGACGAGGCTGTCTACTTCTGTAAAGCTTTGAAGGTCGTGGAGACCCAGAAGGGCAGGTCCACCCTGTCCTGTAGGATTGCTGTGAGTCAGATCCACGTGATGGCCCTGAGTTTGGTTTTGGTCATGGGAGCCATGACTGTAAGTGCTGTATAGCATTTTTTCATCATTACGATAACCTTGCAGTGAAGCACTTGAACTCTCCTTTTTTAGCTAGGGTCACAGGCTCACAAAGCTCGCAAAGCTGGGAGGAGTGTCAGCAGCTGCACTATCCTAGCTCTGAGGGAGAGGCCACTTGCCTTCCAAACGAGCAATGAAGCCCTTACTATCTACTTCACAAAATCGTCAGGAAAAACTGTGGCCTATGAGTGAATTCTGGGTTACCCCTGGCTTTGTAAATTAAGCTTTATTGTAGCACAGCCGATCATTCATGTATGTATTGTCTGTAGGTGCTGCCCTACTGCACTGATAGACATAAGTGGTTGCAACAGAGACCATAAAGTCCTCAGAACCTAAAGTATCTGCCCCTGTAGGCAAACTGTGCCACGTTTAGTGTAGAGGCTCAGGTTGTATATTCCCATAGGAGACTTGTGTGCTGCATTACAACGATAGGCGAGTATTGTCACTGTTTCTACTTAGATTCTTAATCGAGATTTTTAAGATACGATTTTATTATCATTTGACATGAGTTGGGATGAAATTTAATATCACTGTGCAAGCATATTCGTATACCATTGCATATCTGAGTTATCCAAAATGATGTTTATGTTAAAATGTTTCTAATCAAGGGCTTACTCATTAAATACAAGGGCTCTGTATTCACTCACTAGATGCCAGTTATGTTTAAAATAGGCATGACTGAGATCACTTTTTAAGTCATTGTTCAAGTGAATATGATATTTGGAGGTTTTTTGTTTGTTTTGTTTTGCTTTTATTAAAAGATCATTTTATTGAGGGCTCTTACAACTTGTAGAACAGCGCAAACATCAGTTGCATCAGGCATATTTCTGCATATGTTGCCATCATTCTTTTCTAGACAGTTACTTTCTATTAAGCCCTTAGTATCAGATCCTTTTTCCACACCCCCACCCTCGTGACCCCTTGATAAATTATAAGTTATTATTTTCATGATATTTGTTATATATTGTTTCCATTTGGATTTTATGTGTTTTTTCCCAGAGTAGCTCCTAAAGAGTTTTTAAAAAGAGATCTTTCCCTGTCACTGAGAACCTGGTCTGTAGTTACTGAGTGTAATGAAGGATTACACATTCTGATGAACGCACGTCACTTAAACTCACTGCCATCGAGTTGATTCTGACTTATTAGTGATCTTATAGGACAGAGTGGTTTCAAACTGCTGACCTTGGGGTTAGCAGCCCAATGCATAACTCACCATGCCACCAGGGCTCCTGCACTTTACCACCAACGTGACAGAGAGCTTTCTGGTATCTATAATTTTTACATTTTGTTTCAAATATGATGGATTTCCCTTCTTTGCTCTGAAGTTCTCTCACCCATTAGATAAATTGAATTCACCATTTGTGCCAGTAAGATAAACTATATCATCTAAATAATAAGTAATTTTGGATTAGAGCCTATAGTAACTGTGATGAATCATAACTTTCTAAAATTCACTACCTAATGTTTTATACTGTGCACAAGGTGTTTATGTGCTACTGTTCAGTTTATGCTTTAAAACTCATAACATGTAAGCAGAAATTTTAAAATGGAACTATTTCAGAAAGAGTAAAAAGGAAAATGTATATGTGTGTTTGTGCTCTAATTATAATAAAGTAACAATATGAAGTAGTATTAGTAGTATAGTTTATATTTATTAGGATTAATAGAGCATTACATATTCACACAACTATTGATCTCAGTCCTTCCCCTCGTTAAGTAATGATAAATGATGAATCTATTGTTAATTAACCTTTCTGTAGAAATGTTAGACAAATAGAACCAGCCCTGTTGTTAATAGCGCATCATGTTGAGAATATGTATTTGTTGATAGGTATATGATTGGTTGCAGTTGGGATTTTTTTAGGTAACTCTTAAAGCTGATGCTATTGGTATATTACAAGGTTCATTTGAAATGTTTCCTTATCTACTACGTGATAATATTTACTCTCCCTTGGGTTGTGGGCGAGAACTAAGACATGAAAGTCAGGTTAATTAGCTTTTCCTTTTATTAACAATTCTGCTAAAATTCCAAGATAAGCATTACTGGAGAATTTGAATGATGAATGACCTCAGCATTTTCACTGTTCTTCCCTTCCCTGCACACTCCAATACTTTTTAGAGCTTCATAGAGCTATAATAAAATTACATATACGCCGATAACTCTATTTTTGGATCCCCAGTTGGGCTGCTAACTGCAAGATCAACCCACCAGCATTCCAGGGGAGAAAGATGAGGCTTTCTGCTCTTATAGAGATTCACAGCCTTGGAAACCCACAGGAGCAGTTCTGGTCTGTCCTATAGGACCACTATGAGTCAGTGAGTCTTAGAATTCCATTCTGGAAGTTAATTTAAAATGTACAAGGACATTACCTTCAGAGTGATGGCATCATCACATGTCCCACCCTGGGCACACTCCACTAACCACTTAGGAGAGAACTCAAGGGAAAGACAAAGAGGTCTCGCATATCTTCTGGAGTTCTCAGGCTATACTTTTAAGAACTGCTCCCCTTGAAGATCAAAATATAATCGTATCTTGAATTCTTCTATTTGCATAAACTCTGCTTTGTGAGGCTCCTCCAAAGGATGTAGTTTACACAATCAGAACCACACACACCAAAAAAAAAAAAAACCACGAAAAGGGCATGTGTGCGCACATCATATCATAGGGTAATTCTCTCTTTTATCTCCAGTTATGGAAATTCTTAAAACCCAATACGCCGCTGGAATCTCGGGTGTCCAAGCAATGGTGTGAAATTGGTTTCCAAGGTGATGATCCGAAGACAGATTTCCGAGGAATGGGACTTCTGGGGCTGTACAATTTGCAGTAAGTAAAATGAAGAATGGTTGTGTAACAAAGTGATACTGTGGTCTCCTAGTATTACATTGAGCTAGCAAAGTTATTAGTTCCAAGAATCACTTCCTAGAAGATGCCAAGGAAATAGTCATGTTCCCAGGGAAGTAACCCCGATTCATAAAAGTCTTAAGCCTGCCTCCATCGTGTTTTTCCTTTGCAGATGTCATGAACCCTTCAGACAAATCGCTAACATGCTTATTTTTTATTATGAAAAATTCCCAGCATGTATAAAAGCAGCAACGGGATTGTAAAGAGCTTCTTTACACTGAGCACCCAGATTACTGCAATACTTGTTTTTGGTGAAATTCTGTTATTGAGAATCGTATACAGTTTGTCTTTTTACCCCTCATATGTTAATATGCACCTCTATAAAGTGAAAATATTTCAATAATTTAACCAAAGTGCCATTATCACACCTAACATCATTAATAATTCCTATATGAAATCTCTTCTCAAGGTTTAAACTTCTCTCAAAACTGTCTTTTTACAACTGGCTTAATCTCATCTAAACTCATACACAATCTAAAAATTGCCTTCAGTTAGATCATTTGGGGCCTATTTAGAGCAAACTTTTCTCTCCCTCTGAAGTCCCATACTTAAGGCCTCTTGACAAGATTGGAATCTTACGGAAGATTCCAGGTCAGTTGTCTTATAAAATTGTTCCATGGTCTTGATTTGTCTGTTTATACTTGTGCCCCTGCCCCATAGTTCCTGAACATTGGAGGCACTGGGGAAGGCTCGAGTGGGCTCAACTTGACAGCACAGAGGCGTGTCCCAGCGCTGTGCTGAGAAGGGTCAGAGGGGCCGTAGCCTGATGCAAACTCTCCCATCCATCCTTAGTCTGGCGACTTCTTCCTTCTGTGATCTTCACTCACTCAGTGAACTTTACCCAAAAGCGTATTTCTCATCCTGTTGTTCTTATCATTTTTAGCTGGAATTTTGTAAAGACCAAGTTTCCTTTGTAAGCTAAGGTTATTTGATTCAATAAAATATTGGCAAAATATACACGGTTCTTCCCCTTCGTTACCAATTTCCCAAGTGAGAAGCTAGCATCTAGACCATTTCACTGTTGACCGGCACATTGTTTCCCCTTGGTGCCGTTAGGCACCATCCAGTCGGCTCCAGCCCATAATGACCCCACGCACCAGAAGTATTATTTAAAACTCATGTGTTTTAATATATTCAATGCGAGTCGATTTATTGTCTCCGTTATTACTTCCTGCTCATGTGGAGTCGTTTGCAGTCATTTTTAAATGCCAACTGGAGCCCGTTCAAGTCAGTTCCTGTGTCCGCGGAGCACTCCCCCATTTGTGAGCACAGCGATGCCTTTTTCAAAGAGATTCAGCCTCCCACTGCCAGATTTGGTGGCACCCATTTTTCCCTTTGTCTTAAATTTGTGAAGTTCAGTCATCACACATTATGTCCTGGCGTGTTAAAAACTGCATTAGGATGCAAGGTGAATAAATAGAAAATAAATTTTAAAGTCCGAGTTACACAGAGGTGGGTAAAAGGTGACATTTTGAACAAATGGAGCGGGGCTGATCGAACTTTCATTTGGAGAAAAATAGGTGTATCTTTCTCAGAACAAATCTCTTCAACTTTTAAGAAGAAACTTTAAATACTGAGAATGGAGGGATCTCTTAAAGACATGTACAAAAACTGTAAAAGAAAAAAATAGCAATTTTCACACATTCAAATTTTTAAAAAAACTTCTATAAAATAAGCCATGATAAGCAAAGTAAGAAGACAAGCCAAGACTGGCATAGCAATACCTAGTATATTCTCTATAGAGTCATCTGACCTACTAGAGGACTTTTTAGATCTGCTGGGTCAAGAAATATAAACAGACGAGCCATAAAAGAGAAAACACAGATGACCAACAAAAATGTGAAAAGAACTTCAATTTCATTAATAATCTTGAACATATGCTTTAAAAATGCTGAGTTTTGTGTGAAATCTTCTTAGAGAAAACTCCAGAACTTTAAACAATCTATTAGATTTCTGCAGGGAAAGTAACCATTATATTGTATAATATATATGGTGACTTTAGTTTATAAGTTGTCTTCATGAAGCACTTTTATGAAGTGTTTTTGAATATATATAATTTTATTATATATATATATTAGAAAACCTCACTGCCCTTTCTCCCCTCAAACAGAATTTCATTTTCTTAAGACACCTGTAGGCACCATAAGATATATCATCCGTTTATCCAAAAGTCAAATATGCAGTGAGTGTTTCTCAAGGAAAAAGCACATCTGAAGTCTCCCATCTCCCATTCGTACGTCCCAGCCCCTCACCCAGATGTCTGCCGGGTTCTGAGAGGCCTCGGGCGTCTCTTCCGTTAACTCTTCTAAATCAGAATAGCCTTGGCGCTACGGGGAATGGCAGTGCTCAGCATTAGATTTTCTCACCTCCTGGAGAGCCGTCTGAATCTAAGTGGGCATTTTTTCTGGAGGAGATGAAACAAGTGATACTTGGGTGCCAGTGCTCATCTCTGAAATGGAGTTGAAACGAATGTATTCCTCAGTTACGGAGTTATGATCTCTCTTCCCTCCGATTGCAGGTACTTTGCGGAGAGGGATTCTGCAGCAGCTCAGCAGGTCCTCTCTGATTCTCTTCATCCAAAATTCAGGTAATTGTTGAGGGGGACAAGCTCAAGGAGTTGGGTAGAATTAACTTTATCTCCTACGCTGATCAGTTGATGTGCTTCTCAGGATAGTCAGATAGAAGGCTTAGAGCTCTTTTAAATAAGCTCGTTAGCAAATGCTGGATAGGATGGTTAAAACTTATCCTAAATCCAGCACTTACGACTTAGAGGGCGCACACTGTGAGCTAAGACTTTAAAGGGGCTGGCCTCCAGGAGGACTGAGGAGGTAGGCATGCAAAGAGAGGAGGCAGAGTCTAGGAGACATTTCAGAGGCGAGGAAGCGTGATGGAGGAGAGAGGAGAACGGAAGTCATGAAGTCCAGGACTCTCTGAGAAAGTCATGAATTTCTGAAGCTATTGTTGCTGTTGTTATATAAAATTCTAGATTCTGCATAACTTTCCACTTCATTTACCTTTATACATTTTTTCCCTCTGACTACATGAAGGGATATCACTAAAGAGGAAATAAGGTATTTTTTTCTTTGCCTTTGTGTTTTGTTGCTTTTATTTTAGAGTAAGTGTGGTAAGATTTTTTAAAAGGCAATTAAACTCATTACAAACATTTTCTAACTTTTAATTTTAATTATATTTGGGCTGTGTTTTAGTGAACTAAAACCCAGACTAGCTACCTGAATGGAAAACGTCCGAGTTCTTCTATAGTCATGACAGTACCTGGGAGGAGAATCATCTAAGCACCTCACCGCTCACCCTCTGACTCCATCTAGTCCCTAGAAAGGACATTTTCTTTGGGAGTCTTAGTGCACAAAGATTATGTATACCATATGCTATAGTGAATTATGTTGCCATGAAGACTTGTATACAAGGATCTGTTTGCATTCCTGCTTTAGATTAGTGTGTGTGTGTGTGTGTGTGTGTGTGTGTGTAGAATTGTGGATCACATGATAATTCTACCCTGTTTCCCCGAAAATAGGACAGTGTCTTATATTAATTTTTGCTCCTAAAGATGCGCTAGGTCTTATTTTCAAGGGATGTCTTATTTTTCCATGAAGAAGAATATGGTACACATTTATTGTTGAACCAAAAAAAGGGAAATTTATTACCTGTATACAGTACAGTAGTAGTTGTCATCACAAACCAGCATAACCAGACAAACTGTGAATTTTACAGTATCAAGAATTTCTTGTTACTGCCGTTATTTCCATGTACAACAATCTATGGTACATTTACTCATTTATTCAATGACAGTCATGTCATCATCTTCTGGAACAACATCATAACCATCCAAACCCTTATTTTCGGGGAGGTCTTATTTTCGGGGGGATGCCTTATATTTCAGCGAGAGGCAAAACTGTAAGTAGATCTTATTTTCGGGGGATGTCTTACTTTTGGGGAAACAGGGTACGTTTAATTTTTTTTTGAGAAATTGCTATATTCTATATTCTTTGGCGTCAGTGTTATTTCCCTGCCACACCAGAAATAGATGACGGTGCCAATTTCTCCTTATCTTCACCCATAACTGTTATCTCTGGGTGTTGATGTTTTGTGGTTGTTGTTGCTTTTCTACAATCATAGTTTTATATCTTTTATTTCTCTTCAACCGACAGGTTACTGGTTATTGTTTATATTTGCTAAATAAATCTAAAGTTTTATCATACCATTTTCAAACGGAATAGTTTGACTGCTTATGTAGACATCTATCGGCCGTACTATGTAGAGTGGTTATAAGTTAGATGGACTCAATAGCCATGGAGTTGTGTTCACATGCATATATGTATATCAGTGCATATACACCTATATAATCTTATGTGCTTCTATACAAATCTGACTGTTTTGGAAATGCTTCTGCCCTTCAACCAGGTACACATTGGCCAGTTGTGTTGACAGTATGGGTTCTTGTCAGGCCCGAGCATTTCAGATGTTCCACAAGGAGAAATCAATTTATAACTGAGGAAACGACTGCTCTGGGAAACATCCATTTATCAAGTCCTCAAGCAAATGGATGAATAATAGTGCATTTGCGTTTAGAAGGAGAATTTTGCCTGTTTAGCTGTTTTCATTCCTGCGAGAGGAATCTGTTCTCTTTGGGTCAGCATTAAGTGGCCAAACGTGTAGCGCGGGTTTGCCCTTTCCTTGCACTTCCAGTGCATATAGAGATTCAGTTGGACACTTACAAAACGCCTTTATATGTGTAAAGCTTTGTTGAAGAGAAACTACTCCAGGGCTGTCAAGTCCATTCTGACTCGTGCCGCTTCTACGGGACAGAGTAGAGCTGCTCCCCCGGATTTCCGAGGCTGTAAATCCTCGTGGAAGGCCACTGCCTCAACTTTCTTCCACAGAGCAGCTGATGGTTTTGAACCATGGACCTTGTGGTTACCAGCCCAATTCTTAACCCACTGTGCCACCAAAGCTTCTCTGATAACATGAACACTTATTCATTTGTGTATATAAAGTGTCTTGCATATGAGTTTTGTGAAGTAAAATTCTCCTCATTGGCTGGTTGGCAGTCATATTTTAAAATGGAGTGGCAGATGACAACTTATATGAAAGGCAGTTGCTTTGAATTATGACTAGACATTTACAGAGTAGAAAGTCCAATTTAAAATGTCAGTTTTGCTTCATGTTTTGTGGTTGTGTGTTGTGGTTGTGTGGTGGTGCTCCTTTTTAATATAGTGTTTGCAGTGCATTCTAGAGAGCTCTTCTCTTTCCTATTTCAGTGAAAGCGAAGTCTTCATAATGACTCTAGCTTTCAGTTTTACTTCGTTAAAATGCTAATGGCAGCTGGTAAGACAAAACACCGAATCAAGGTTACATCAGTCCCCCAGAAAAGTGAGTGGGACATGGTTTCTGCCCCCATGGCAGTCCCAGAATCGAGGGAAAGGGGACAGTGAGCAAGTATATAAAGTGATGCAATGTAAGGCAGGAATTACATTGCATTACTTCTCATGTGGAACCCTTTCTTCAAGCAGCTTCGTTGAGAAGCTACAATTATAAAGCGCTCTCCCGGAGCTCCTGTGGTTTCGCTGAGTCAGCATCAGTCAGATGAAACCTCATGGCCCTTGTTTGAACCCAAAGTGCACAACTGTTATTTACTTCTGTTCATTTTTTTTCTTTCTGCCTTCTCTTTCTCTTACTAACTCACTCATTTATCAATAAACATTATTTTTGTATCTACTATGTGTTAAGCCTCACAATGTAAGCTTAGGTGGATAAACACCGTGAGACACTACTGAACAGAATGTAGTAACATCTCTTAGAAGAGGAGACCGCTGTTTCATGGAGGAGGTGTGGCTTGACAATGGCTGATATTGTGGAAGGGGATGGTAAAGTTCGGGCTTAGAGCGGTCTCTTCGTGCCGGACTAAATTGACCAGTGATTAAAGAGTAGCATGGCTCTCAGGCAAGCCAGTTCAGAGCGCCATAGAAATCTTACCGTGATTTGTTAAATTGGTGACATTGACTTGATTAGGGTTTGATAACTGGTTTACAGATATCTCTGCAACTAGTTAACCGTTTTATCTTGGACATTGAAGGAGAAAGTGTCAATCAGAGTCAATCTTGTTTTTTATTGATTAATTTATTCACTTATTCATTTAGCAAATTCAGCAAAACAGAGTGGGAGAAGAAAAGAATGGATAAAGCTATTGGGTGAGTGTGTACTTTCATATTTTGACTGTCCATGTAAACCAGAATCAGAGTTAGCCAACAAAAGTGTCTTAAAAGCAGTGTGAAAGATAAAATGGAGAAAATTTCGCATGTGGAGATGGGAATATATAATCCAGGTGGAATTTTAAAAGGACTTTTTTATGTGATTCTATATGACACTTTTGTCTTTGGAAAACTGGTAACATACAGAAAAATATAACCAAACCACCAGTATAGCAACAGGGAACTGCCCAAAATTCAAGGCAAAAATAGAGGATGTGGAATAAAGACTATTATTGCTGACATCAGATTGATCTTGGCTGAAAGCAAGGGGCTCCAGAAAGATGCTCACTTGTGTTTCATTGACTACACAAGGACATTCAACTGTGTGGATCATAACAAACTACAGATAGCCTTGAGAAGGATGGAAACTCCATTGTGTTCATGCAAACCTGTGTACGGACCAGGGGTTGTCATGCAAACAGACCAGGGAATGCCACGTGGCTTAAAATCAGGAAAAGTGTGCATTAAGATGGTACCCTTTCACTGTCCTTATTCCATCTGTCTACTGAGCAAATAACCTGAAAGCTGGGCTACCCGAAGAAGAACACTGCTTCAGGATTGGAGGGAGCTCGTTAACAGCCTGCAATAGGCCGATGACACACCTTGCTTGCTGAAAATGAAGAGGACTTGTATGAAACACTTACTGATGAAGATCAGAGGTTGCAGGCATCAGTATGAATCACAACTCAATGTAAAGAATAAAAAAATCCTCATAACTGGACCAACAGCCCACGTCAAGGTAAATGGAGACGAGACTGAAGCTGTCAGGGATTGCCTTTTACTTGGGTTCACAGTCACCCCCATGAAAGCAGCCATCCAGAAATCTTGGTCACATCTGCTGCACAAGACCTCTTGTAAGTGTTAACGAGGACGAAGTTGTGCTTGTCCCAAGCCATGGTATATTCATTCATTCACTTCATATGCATGTGAAAACCGGACAATGGATCAATAACATTGAAGAAGAATTGATGTATTAAAAGATATTGAAAGTACCAAAAGACCAAACAAATCTGGCTGGAGAAAGTACAGCCAGAATGTTCCTGAAGAGCTAGAATGGTGATACTTCACCTTATGTGCATTGGGAAAATCGGTCCTTGGGAAACGACACTGTGGTTGGTCAAATGGAGGGACAGTGAAGAAGACTTTCACTGACATAGATTGACACAGTGCCTCCAACAGTCGGATCAAACATAACCACACTTGTGAGGCTCATGCAGAGATGGGCAGGGTCTGGCTCTGGTCTCTAGGGACCCTCTGAGGTGGAGCAAACTTGACAACATCTAACAATATCAAGCCAACTACATTGCGCCGATTTTTCAGAATCATCAGTTCGAATTGTATTTGCTAAGAGAAAAAAGAATTGCATTTGGTAATCTCCACATTTAATTATTTCTATAAACTAAATTTCCAAGGTTAATTATTTCTGTTAACTCAGTTTGTGAATAAAATTTTATGTTAGAAGTGCTGTGTTTTTTATGTTTGATACAGAAATATTTCTGAACAAGGAACTTATTTTTTTTCCTGTGCAGGTTTTATATTAGCAGAGAGGTCTAAAGAGAGTCTATCTCCTTTCGTTTTTGATAGCCATGTAAGAAAAAGGACTAAAAAATTACACTCTGAGTGGTAAAAATTACACTCTGAGTGTTTGAAATGTTCTTATTTTTATAGTAGTATAAAATTTACTATGGAAAATTTAGAAAATATAGGAAAATAATGTTTTTAATCTTCCCAATATTATTCCCCTATCACATCCATTATTAATATGTATAATATTTCATTCTAACCTTTTTTATGTGCACATTTATGTGTATATAATGAAATTTGGCTTGTTCTATACAGACTGTTGTATATTTTTCTTGACTAGTCCCTAACAATAGGGTTTTTAATTGTTCTAATATGCCATCATCATTCCCTGGTGGTGTAGTGAATTATGCATTGGGCTGCTAACCACAAGGCCAGCAGTTCGAATCCACTAGCCACTCCAAGAGAGAAAGATGTGGCTTTCTACTCACAGTAGGGGTAGCGCTGTCCTATCCTATAGGGTCGCTATGAGTCAGAATTCACTTGATGGCATCATATAAAATGGCCATGATTTATTTTACCAGTCTTCTTTTTTTAAAACTCTTTCCCAAGTGTCTGTCATTATAAACAAGGCTATAATGAATAATCTTGCACGTAAAGCTTTGTTTACATCTGATTCTTAGAAATGGAATCATCAAGTCAACATCTAGGACTTGTTTTCTTAAGACCAGTTACCAAAATGTTCTTTTAAACAAAATTCATGGTCCTGGTAGGCTAAAGAAGGAAGGGCAATCTGCCATGCTGATTAGTAAGATAATACTTAAATAACGCAAACCAAATGCCTGGGTTTTTTCTAATGATGTTCCAATTGTGAATTAGGTGGGAGGTGGGTGCCTATTTGTTTGATCTCCCATCGGTGAAACACCATTGGTTTTCTGCTTTATTCTTGCAGATACTCATTTGCCATTGTCGGCATCAATATAACTGATTTGGTATATAACCTGCTGATCACTGGAGCTCTCAAGACCCATTTCTACAACATCGCCCCAGAGGCACCAACACTATCCCACTTCCAGCAAACGTTCTGTAAGTGCTCTGTTGCTCAGCTATAAGTATAAGTTTGTTTCTCCAGAGTACTCCAGACAAGTCTTTGTTATCTGACTGCATTACAATCTTTGAAATCCATCTTTTAGTTTTGGTCTGTTTTCTCATTCAATACAGGCACTTGCATGCTCATATTTTCAAGCACCATGGATTTTTCTTTTTCTCAGTTTTTGAGCAGTATACTTATCTTGTGACTTGAAGGCATCGCAAATCTGTCTCTCACTCTGATCCAGCATGACCTAAGACACAGGAATACTGGGTCTGAAGATGCACAGTCTGTTTTCACTCTCAGATCTATGTTTACTAACTTCTCTAAATCTCTAAGCCTCTGTTTTCTTTCCTATAAACTCAATCTTTCCTCATAAAGTTGTTAGGAAGATATAAAGATGTAATGGATAAATTTTTTTTAAATCCTATTAGTTAGTTTCATATGTAAATGCTCAAGGAGCCCTGGTGGCACTGTTGGGTAATACTTGGACTGCTGACTGCAGGGTCTTAGGTTCAAACCCAGCAGCCGCTCCTTGGAAGAAAGTTGAAGCTATCTGATCCCATAAAGATTTCTAGCCTTGGAAACTCTGTACATGGTTGCTATGATTCAGAATTGACTCCTAGTGCTCAGTGAATGTTAACAAGAGAGAGTGTTGTTTTAGTGGGTGATATTGATGATGCATTTGAATTTATTGGAAGTGCTGTGAATTGCAGAAGAACAAACAAGTCTGTCTTGGAAGAAGTATAGTCAGAATGCTCTTTGGAATTAAGAATGGAAGGATATGATCTCACATAATCTGGCTGTTACAGGAGAGACCAGTGCTTAGAAATAGACATCCTGCTCAGTAGAGGGTCAGCAAAGAGAGGAGATAGATTGACCCCGCTGTGGTTGCAGTAGTGTGCTCACACATAGCAACAATTGTGAGGATGGTGCAGAAGCAGGTGGGGGTTAGTTCTGTTGTACAGAGGGTCACTCAGAGTCACTGACTCGGCAGCACCTAACAACAACAACTGATGATGGGTGTTGATGTTGCCATTGGTCTTTCTTAAATGATTACTTTTACTACTGATGCAGAAGATAGTATAACCACCCTCTCTAAGATTAGAGGAGCCCATTGATTAAAAGTTAGGCTGCCACAAAGCAGCTCTGCTCTGCCCTGTAGAGTTAGTATGAGTGGGAATTTCCTTTGTGACAGTGGATTTGGTTTATTTATTTATTTTAGGTGCTAAGAGTCAGTGGGGGTAGAGGAATTGGCATTTGAGGGCAGGGGTATTTATTTTGTTCATGGAGTATTGCCATCCCAGAGCCTGGTACAGAGGCGATGCTGTTTTTGTTGGATGGATGGAAAGGTGGATGATAAACTAACACATTGGATGGCATTCTTTTGTGGGGAGTCTAATTTCCCTGGAATTTGGCCTGGATTGATATGTTACCAAGAGAATCCTAGCCAAAATGATCAAGCATGATACCAAATTACTTACTGCCCAAGACCCTACCAGGTTTTGGAAACAACAGAATCCCCTGTGGATTAGAGTATAGGCAGAGGGGCTCCCACCTCTTTAAAGATGCCAGACTGTGTCCTGGATTGATTGCTCCTCCATCGGACACGATCAGGTCTGCCCATCTCCTCTGTACTACTCTTGCAATTACCCATGTCCTTGCATTTGTATCAGCTTTTTACTAACTGACTGCAGTGAAGCAGAACCAAGACACATTCAAGCAATAAAAAGTCAGCTATAGGTTTGAGTTGGAACCCAAATTAGTAATCAAAACAAGTATTTCATCTAGGTGAAAGACTGGAAGAATAAAATAGCTCTATCATTCAGACTCTATAGCATTATTCAGTGGACACTGCCTGGCGGAGGCAGGATGTTACAAAACCCGCATACAAACTAAAGCTCTCCAATGAGTCTCCAGCCCCTTTGAAATAGAGTGAGGTCAGGTGCAGTGAGCAGAAGGAAAGTACAGTGACCGGAAGAGGAAAAGGAATTGATCTTTTCTCTGACCTTTACAATAAGAACCTTCAATAGGAATGAGAACAAGAGGAATGGAATACTCTGGAAAAGGCAGCCTGGCACAGTAGTGGAAAGCCAACTGACTCCAGGTCCTGACATCAGTGTCCAGTTGTAGTTAAGTCAGTGTGTGCATCCCAGCGTCTTCTCCAGGCTCAGTGCTCTCACCTGTAAAATGAAAATATGGTCAGTGCAGTACTGACTTGTAAGAATTAAGACTACCAGCCCTGTACTTTCCACACTCTTTTGTTAGCTCCCTTGGTTACCTTGTACAGAAATCATCTGCTTTTGTCTCAGACTTTCCATGAGACCAAGAATTAGACATCCTAAGAACTCTGCTTCTCACATCCTAATACATACGCATTTGTTGAAACTTGAATTAACTAACTTTCCTATATATTCTATAATGTTCTATGAATCAACTTTTATGATGGTAACACATATCTTAGAAGCCATGCCACCATTTCTGCATTTTGACCAAGATTATCTTAAAACTAAACCCAATGCCATCCATTTGATTCCAACGCATAGCAACCTTATGCAGGGTTTCTGAAATTGTAAGCCTTTGTGGGAGCAGACAGCCTCTTCTTTCTCTTTCAGAGCAGCTGGTGGATTGGAACTGCTGACTTGGTGGTATAAATGGTCCAACTCATAAACTATTATTATGCCTTCGGGGCTCCTTCAGAGAGTTGCTCATCCTTTTCCTCTTGGGGTAGAGAGACAGTTCTAGAGACTCTGCAAGCTTTATAACTTGACTTTTATAGACGTAAGAGAAAGGACTCTGTCCTGAGATTAGCATCTGCTTGTGAAACATTCCCATCTCTCTGCTTTCACCTGCCCATTTCTGAACATTTTGGGTGGTTTTTCTGTGTAGAAGTTAGAAAAATAGAGAATGCACAGGATCTACATTCTTCTAGACTTCTGTACTATACTAGATCACCTCTTCAGAGAGTTGTTCTTATACCCGTCCCTTGTGGAAAAGTGAACATTTTTATGCACATTGCTGAAAGGTAAATTCTTAATTGATGATTCCCCCCCCCCACAGTGCCTGTTGACTTTTGTCATGAAGAGTAATGAACTTGTCACTCTTAAGATATTATAGAGTTATATCATAGCTGATTTTAAATCACAGTATGGAAAAATGGTTCTATATACAAAGGAACTCAGGTTTGTTTATGTGAGCCTAGAAAGCAAGTCAGGAAAATAATGTATGCAATTTATATAATATGGGGAAAGGTAATTACAAATAACCATCAGTTTCATTTAAAGTAATAAATTGGGTTCATATATAGAAGGAAGCCAAAGAAGTGTCAAGAAGGGACACCTTCCAGACCAGTGGTTCTCAAACTCTAGTGACATGAGAGTCACTTTACTGAATTGAAATTTCTGGTTGAATCCGAGAAGGCCTGCATTTTTAACAAGTACCTTGGTCATTCTTGGGATACAGTAGATATGAGTAACTGAGATGGACAGATGGCTGGATTCTTTTGGTTAATGAGAACCTGAGAAGAGATCAGATTCAGCTGCCAGACACCAGAGCAACCAGGGGGTAAATGAACTCCAAATCCTGCCATGAGAGCTATCAGGAGAAATAGGGATGGTCAATCTGGAATACAGGTCACTTGGGAGCATAAGACACACTTCACACACTGGTGAGATGGAGAGGGCCACAGGCTTGGGTCCAGTGTGAAGATCAACGTCTTAAGAATCAGAGTCTGTCATCCATGGAACAGACTTTCTCTCAGTGTTGTCAACAGAGGAGTTCAAAGTGGAATGTAGCCTCACCAACGGGGCAGAGATGGCTGAGGTGACACCCGTGAGCTCTGATTTGGGGCCTCTCTGACGTGACCTAGTTCCCAAGACAGTGGTAGTGAGCCCTGGCATTTGTGTGGGCGTTGATACATATCCCCATTAGAAGTATTAAAAGGTGTCATATCTGTTCATGTCTAAAGAGGACCCAAAGAAAGAACCAGTCCTGAGATCAACGGGAAAATCAGCCCCAAAGGAGTATGTACTAAATCCGCTCTCTTTGCTTTGCCCTCCTGCTTCTTCCTGTGTTTGTAGAGAGACCATGCACATAGCAGTGTGCCAGAGGAGTGAGCAGAGGCGTGTGTGGAAGGGCGACCAACACCTGCCACTGTGTTGGGGGAAGGTCACTCTTCTAAGTTTGTGTTACAATGAAGTATCAGTAAAGATTTCAGTTTTTAAAATCTATAGCCAGTTACAAAGGAGCCCTGATGGAACCGTGGGTTATGCATTGGGATGCTAACCACAGGATCAGCTATTCAAAGCCACCAGCCGCTCCTTTGGAGAAAGATGAGATTTTCTACTCCTGTAAAGTGTTACTTGTCAGAAATCCACAGGGAATGGGGGTTCATTTTGGTTTGGGTCTAGTGCTAAGGAGTCCCTGTGCAGGGCAAATGGCTAACACACTGTACTGCTGACTGAAAGGTAGAAGGTTCGAGTCCACTGAAAGTCACCTGAGAAGAAAGGCCTGGTACTTTACCTGAGAAAAATCAGTCACTGAAAACCCCTTAGGCCTACGTGGGGGTCACCACAAACCAGAGTCACCTGCATAGCAGCCTTCTCCCCCAGGACAGTAAGACAGAGATGGATCCATGTAGTCCTTTTGTGTGTGTGCATTTTCAAAGAACCCTTTCTCTAAAATACAGACTCCTGAACTCGATAGGGAGGTACTCCCTGTCAATGTAATCTCTTTGGAAAATATGATTCACATTTCGATTCTAAAGGTGGTAAAGTGTGCTGTTGTAGATTATGTCTCAGGCTACTCCTGAAAAGTTCAGCAGTTCAAACTCACCAGATGCCTGTAGGTTCCCCACATTTTTTGACTTACCACCTCACTTTCAGGGAAAAACAAATACTCAGTGCCTCATGTCATTTAAAACCAGTTGTACGCTCTCCCTTGATCCAAGCTCAAGTGAGACTTTTGCTGGCTCCCTGGATCATTCCAGCGCCCTGCCCCGTAGTGGGCCGTGTTGCGTACTTGGGAAAAAGTGCACCAGCGCCCTGGGTGTGAAAGATGAAGCCGGAGGTGGCGAAGGACCAAACACGAGAGGGTCTTCTTGTACCAAATACTGAACATTTATCCCCAAACGCTTCCCAACCCAGTCATTCGCACATAACATCTCCGAGACATGAACGTTTTTGAGGGTGAAATTATGCTCCAGAACAAAGAAACTTATGAAGAATTCCATGAATTCTGTGAATTGCCGGGCTGTGCCGAGTGAACAATTGTTATTATCTGTTAACAGATTGTCAGAATACATCTGTGTGATTTGCTAAAGTAATTCAAAATTTTAGTCAAATCAAGTAGCAAGAGGAAAAGGGGCTGAACAGAGTAATTTCAGTCTATCAGATCTTTATGCTAATTTAATTAGGAAAGGAAGGAGGAAGGAGCCGCTATTGGCCCTTCAGAGAAGGTCCCCAGTGTGATTCACATTCAAGAGATGGCAGAATTGATTTGTCTTCCTGCTGGGGGAGGAGGAGGATAATTTCAGGCCCACCTGCAAAAATCTGCCACTCTGTAGCGTCTCCTGCACTGGTCTTTGAAGCATCATCGTCAGTGCTTGCAAGCACCCTGGGGATCTGGGGATCTTCTGGTCTCCTCGGATGCCATCTCACTTCTCTTCAACACCCGGGCGAGCTTGAATGGGATCGAGGACTTTCTTTTCCTCCTGCGTTCTGATCACTGTCTTTTCTCAAACAGGCTATTTGATGCACGAGTTTCATAAGTTCTGGATCGAAGAGGACCCCATGGACATAATGGAATTCAATCGTGTGCGGGAGAAATTCCGCAAGAGGATCATAAAACAGCTGCAGAACCCAGAAATGGCCTTGTGCCCACATTTTGCTGCCTCGGAAGGGTTGATCAACATGTAGTTGCCCACCCTGGCTTTCCTGGATGCCCTGGCACGGTGCCTCATGGTCCTGTTCGATCTCTGCTTAGGCCCCAGCGCACACACTGAATGCACACAGGGGTTGTATGCATGCCCTTCGATACAGTATTCCCGTCTCTTGGTCGTAACTGTCACACACCCTGATCCCACTATTTCTGGAGTATCTGTCCCTTAGTGACTGCTCATGTTGTGGCTTTATGCAGTGTTACATCTTGTCTTGACGCCCAGGTATGGAGAGAGTTTTCTATTTTTTTAGGTTTTGTTTTCCCCCCTCCCTCCCCCTCATTATTCAGCATCAAAGAATTGTATTTCCCTCGCTGTGTTTTGTAGGTAGGAAATCTAGCTGAATCTTGTTCTGTGAAAGCCTTTTAATTTATTGATAATGTTTCACAACTACTGCTGCTAGCTTCTCAAGTCCAGTCCAGGCTTGGATCTCATACTCATTATATAGACAGACACATGATAAGCCAAACTGTTTCTGCAAACATAGCTGCGCTCCAAAACATATTGTTTAAATAGAATGCGGCCCAGGACGCACAAACTTAAGTAGAAGCTGTTTTTGTTTACAGTGCCGCAGCGTCCCATTTGTAACTTGCTCACCCCGCAGTCATCTGGATATCAGATGGTTTACCGACCATGGTCTCACTGGCTTGAACGCGTACATACATTTAGGATGCTTGGAGCCTCAGAAAAGAAGTCTGCATATTCTCAATGCTGCAAAAAGATTCTTCACTGCCTGCCTCTTGCTGAACGCCGAGTTCTATGAGTTCTATGCTGGCACTGTTCTGATCCAAGTATCTTTGCTTGGGGCACTGAGTCCTGACCACTTGCCTTTCCAGATTGCGGTAATTGGAAAGAACCAATTTGTAAGACCAAGTGTTTTGAGAGAGGAACCTGAGCTTTATCATTCTGTGGTATTTCTTGGAAATAATGACCTTCTTTTGTCCTAGTAGAAGAAGTAAATTGCTTGAAAAGGGGTGGGACTGGGTGGAGGCGGGGGGAAACAAACCATTCCAAAATTGCAAAGTCATTTTAAAAACCATGATTTAGTTTGGAATCATGATTGTAGTCTGTTCAATTGTATTTACCATGGCATTTCACACCCATGGTATTTTATACCTTCTGACTATCGATTTTAGTATTATTAGATGTTTGTGTAATCACTTGCTTATTTAAATGAATTTTTAGCACTGCCTAACCGATGGTTATATGAATAAATTACACGTCATTCTACTGTAACATGGAGTGGATTTCGTTCTAATCTTTCTGTGCGTGTACAGCTTCTGAATATGCAAATGTGTGAGTGGGTAGAATGTCAAAGACCCAGAGCTGTCTATAACTCACACCACTGTTCAGAGTAGCCAGGTGTAAACAAAAATGTGTCACTGGAGGAGCATTTTTAGTTCACCGTGAGCAGCAGTGGCGCTTTAATGAAAGACAGGAGTCGACTTTTCCTCATCACTACATGTAAGGGCAGGTGCGAAAGAAGAAGCCTTAAGCTGCCTGCTTGTCTCCTCCACCAGTTTAGCTCCACTAGGAGCCCTGATGGATGTCGTACTGGTTAAGCATTGGTCTGCTAACCACAAAGTTAGTACATCAAAGCCACCAGCCCCTCTGAGGGAGATATGCAAGGCTTTCTACTTTTGTAAAGAGTTATAGTCTCAGAAACACACGGGGACAGTGCTATATGAGAATTTATCAGATTGTTCTTTGTCCGAATTTACTTGATGGCTGTGAGTTTGGGTTTGGGTTTTGGAGTTTGCTGTCCCTTCCCTTTCCGCTGTATTCCAGGTGCCAGCATTTTATTGATTACAGCCGTGTGATCTTTCTTAAGAGGATCCTGTTGATGCAGTGGGTGAAGTACTCAACGGTGAACCAAAAGGTTGGCAGTTCAAAGGCACCAGCCATGTCTTGGGAGAATGACGTGGCAGTCAGCTTCTATTAAAATGTACAGCCTTGCAAACCCTATGTGGCTGTTCTACCCTGCCCTATGGGACCCTCTGAATGGGAACCAACTCGAGGACCGTGGGTGGGACCTTTCTTCAGATGGGAAAGGAAGGTGTTGGTGACAGCATGATGTGTGCCATGCGTGTCACCATAATGTATTGGGGGGGGGGGGGGACTTCAAACAAGTGTGGGAAAATGTCCTGGTCTTTTGATTCCATGTGTACATGCACCTTTTGAAGCTTGCTCATAACCCTCTCCAGAGTAATAACATAGGTCCCTGGCAAATAGCCTGTCTTGGGAGCCGTGCATGTGCTCAGTGCTGGAGCCCCCGCAGGCATGTGCTGTGTAATTCATTTTGCACGCACGCAGCCTGGGTCAGCCATAGGCTGCCTTGTCTCTTTCTACCCACCGTGGTTCTTTGCCACTGACAGGGCTTGATCGCATGTGGCCTTTACACTGGCACCTGTTCCTTCTGCTCAGCTGTGGGTCATTGATGCTAACAAATGGGAGCGCTCCCTCCTAACCCTTTGCATGATTTCTCTCTGTTGTATCTTATCACGGCTGGACCATTTGAGGATGAACAAACCACCATCTCCTTCTAGTTCTGAGTATTATTAGATTTCTCATTCACACCTCTTTGTGAAGATGCATTCCAGCCAGTAACACTAAGTGAGGTGAGAAAAAGAAGGGGAGAAAGTTTCAAAAGCATCACACATGTGTGATCAGGCCCCCCAGGCCCCCAAGCATTCTTAGCTTGCTTGTACTTACTCAGTTGAACAAGGGTTGACCACTTAAAATGTAAAATGTATAGCAAGCGTCTTCCAAGTTTTCCCAAACCCTGCTTGCTGTGATAGATAAAGAACACATTCCAGTTTGCACTACAAAAATAAAATCCTTTGAAAATTGTGACTTCAATTTGAACTTGGTGCCTCACAACTCTTGTTATTAAGTTGAAAATATATTTCTGTCTGTCATCTTACTCTTTTCTATATTTGAAAAACCAAACTCACTGCCGTGAAGTTGATTCTGACCCATAGTAAACTATAGGACAGGGTAGAACTGCCCCTGTGGGTTTCTGACATGAACTCTTTCCAGGAGGGCATAGCTTTGTCTTTCCGCTGAGGAGTAGCTAGTGGTTTTGAACTGCTGAGCAGTCACAACAGATAGGGTGTCCTTATACCGTTCCAACCAGGAGCTTTTTGAGAGAGAAAGAAGCTGTTGGGGCGATTACAACCCAATTCTCTTACTTTGTAACCTCCTGCTAGAGAAGTCCATGGTGGCAGCGCTTTGGTATCAGCTACTACCCCAAATAGTAAAGCCCCGTTACAATGGTGATGGTGGTCTGCCTGTGACAATGTGGCTCTAGTGCTCGGAGCCAAGAGGAAATTGACTGTAGAAAAGTAAAACTTGACAAGCAGTCCCCACAACCTCTCTTGAGTCATGAACATAGGAGCCAGATTCCAACCGAACCGAGTGAAGATGGGACGGGGCCTGGGAGCTGACGGACAGAAGAGGACAGACAAGTGTCAGGTCCTCAGGCACATCTAGGACACAGAACCACGGTGACAGGAACTTTACCTCCCACCGTCTGGGGAGCTTTACAGGAACTGCTCTAATCTAGAGGCAAATGGCAAAAATGAGGATTGAATCTTGGACAACAAGAGAGAGTCTGGAAAGGAGTCCCTGACAAGAGCTCGGGTTTAGCGGTTTCTTATCCTGAATGCCAGGGCTGTGCTGGTCCTTTCCTTGTATTATTTCATTTTCATCTCCTCGACAACACAGAATGCCAGGTGGACTTTTGTCAGCGTGCTTGCTTGTTTTTGTGAACAAACAGACTCAAGAGAAGGTGAGTGTGTTGCCAAACATCCTCAGAGAGTAGTAAATGGAATAGCTGGACCTTGAGTCTAGGGTCCTAGCCCCAGGCTGTTTCTTTCGTGCTATCTACCTCCCCCCAAACCACACTCACTGCCACTGAGTCACTTCTGACTCACAGTGACCCTATAGGACATGGTAGAACGGCTGCTGTGGGTTTCCAAGGCTGCACCTATTTCCAGGGGTAGAAAACCTTGTCTTTCTCCCGCAAAGCAGCTGATGGTTTTGAACTGCTGACCTTCTGGTTAGCAACCCAATGTGTAACCAGTATGTCCCCAGGGCTGCGCTGCCTACCTAGTTGGGATGATTCTCCACTGGCCCGGGCACTAACTAGTGGGCTGTAAACACACTCCCTCGTGTGATAATGTGTATGGACACATATTTTCTCCCTGAGGGATTGTAGGAAGAATTTATGCCTTACATCACAGTGCTGCCAGGCTGGCCCTTGAGAGTCCCCACATGATTGGTCAGAATTTCTTCCCTTGGACACAAAACAATTTCGACCAGATTGCAAGCTGTTCTCTGACCTTTGAGTACCCCATGGGCACTGAGAGCCTGCATGCTTCCCCCTGGATTGTGGGAAACCACAACAAGGTGGGTTTATAAAGCCTATCCTGTGGTATGTCCAGTCCAGAAGCTATAAAGCAATTTGGTTTCAAGAGCATGGAGTTCTAGCAGCACTATTGGGTAAAGGGTTGGACTATTAACTGCAAGGTTCGTAGTTCAAAACCACCAGCTGTCCATTGGAGAAAGAAGAGACTGTTTCCAGAAAGATTTATCGTCTCCAAAAAAATCCTGTATATAAGGTCACTTTCAGTCAGAATTGATGGCAAGGAGTTCAATTTTTTATTTTTGGATGTGGAACTTGGAGTTTATAATTACATTTCTTTCGTGGCTAGGGTCTCGTGGTCCATTAACCTGACTTAGACTCCAGAATGCTATAGCTCATGATGAACTGAGCGGAGTGATGCCCTTTAGCTTGTAGCTGAGAGAATCCATTAATATCCCTGCACTTCCGCACAGAAAACCACCCTGGATGGTTAGGTAGGGGTCAGGATGGGTTACGGAGGTTAAAAGATTGACTCCATCCTCTTCTACTTTTGGCCTGGTATGCCCCTAGCACTGCACTGTGCTTTGAGAAAGAGCATTTATGGCAACTCGGACAGTGTGTCATCGACAAGAGAAGGCAGCAGATTGAATTTGTAACATTCTAGAAAAGACGTGGTGGCGTAATAGTCAAAGTACTCAAATGATAACCCAAACTGTCAATGTTGTAGCCGCCAGCCCCTCCACGTCTGCTTCTGTAAAGATTGCAGCCCTGGAGCCCTCTAGGGCAGTTTTACTGTGGGAGGGTTGCTGGACTGGAATCTGCTCCACGGCAGTGGGATTGATGAGCTGAGCTCGGATTCCTGACTCAAAAAGCCTCCTCTCAAGGAGCCAGCCTCCTAGCTGCCGGCGAAAACAAAATGTCAGCTGTTCCCTTGCTAGCTCAGGCATTCTTTCGTCTGAGAGGCAGGAGCCTTTGGTGGTAACTGCTTTGTCAAGCAGCCCAGAAGGAACCCCACACAGGATCTTGTAAAGCAAATCGTCCCTTCATATCATATCCCTATACCTACATTTGGCACATAATCAGAGCCAGGTATTTAGCAATTGCAGAGAAATGGGGACATCATCAGCCTTAACCTATGACATGGCCAAGTGTTTCCTGTTTCTGCAAAGAACAACAAAAGAAATTCTAGCAGCCAGCAGCAAAGCGTCCCGGTGTTGATGCCCCGCCTAGTAGGTTCGGAAACCTCACCTCTGTCAGACTGTGTTTACTACCCGCAACATAAAAATCATGACAGCGCCTCTTCAGAAGATTATTGCAAGACTAAATAATCAAATAACCTACCATTAATTAAAGCGCTTGGAGAATTCTAAAGTACTGGCTAAGCAAGCACGTTTAATTTTAATCAGTTTGGTCTTTGGCTCTGTGGTTACTCAAATATAAAGTTAATGCTGCAAAACTTGCCCTTGTAGCCAGTGTCCCTCACTAATTCAATTCAGCAAATAACTATTAAGAACTTACTTTTTTTGCCAGGCATCATGCCAAGTCTGGGGATAAAGTGGGAAGCAAGGCAGTAGCCTTGAACTCATCGACCTCATCCTCTGGATCTGGGGCTCAGGGCTTTGCTGCTCAAAGTCCAGTCTTTGGACCACCAGCAGAAGCATTGTTAAAAATAAGTCATCTCCGCCCACTATCCCAGACCAAGAGAATCAACATCTTCATTCTAATACACACACACACACACACACACAAATATGTGTTTTTGTGAACATTAAAGTTTGAAGAGCTCTGCTGTCAGGGGCATTGATCTGGCCCCTCTCCTCTGAAATCTGGCAAAGTTTAGCATCAACTCTCCCTGGTTTTGAAGTCCCGG